GATTCTTGTGCCCCGTGGTTAGACGAAGCAGAACGGGCTGCCCTAGCGCGCCTCTCTCGCCGTCCTCTCGTGTCCCGAGTCAGCTGATTGGACACTCCGCATTCGCACTCTTTAAACTGGAGCATGTTGCACGTGGCTCCGAAGGCATAGCCATTAGTGACATGCTAAATACTAAAGGTGCGGTGTGCGGGTTGCGTAAATATGTTTTGATGGGTTGCCCACCCAGGCAGGTTCGATCTGAAATTAATGTCTAATTCTAAACACGGCCAGAGATTATAAGACGCTCCTCCTCTGTCATTTAAATCGAAAGGTTTGGGCTGCGTCTCCTAATCTGGTCGGGGTGAGTGTGTGCTGCTTCTGCTGCCGCCAGATCTGTGTTCATCTATAGACACGCGGCACCAGTTTTGTGGGGTCGCGTCTTACTTTCAGGAGCGTCTTGTAATTAGGAGAATTACGGTAAGTGTACTACCCATACCAGCACGATCATTGCGGGGAGTCTCGTGTCAAGAAGCGCCTCGATCACCACAGTCATGTTCTGCCTGCGACACGAAGGCTTGCGAGCGGTGAGCCGATATTGCTGCGTTTTTGTCGAATGTATAGCTTTGCAAAGTGTAACTCGATTCGGCCGCGGTAGTTATTTTTGCACAAGAAGGGCGCATTTTGGCAAATCTGCTCAGTAACACGGCAGGCACAGTAGAACGCAAACATTTAAATAACAAAAAAATAAAGTAAAACTAAACTATGCGTTCCACAGAGCGAAAGCAAACACCGTGCACCGTCGAAAAACAGAAGTTTATTGAACAAAATTGTCAAATCGTTTGATATTATTTCACAACAGCACTGCGGGATAGTGGAACTCTGGGGAGCGGTGGGTGGTGCAGTGGTTAGCACAGTTGCGCTATGAACCCAAGCTAACCGACTTCAATTCTCAACCATGGCCAACATCAGTGGCGGATGATATCTGAACAAGTCTTGGCTCTTAGCGCTCCATCGCACCCCACCCCCTCCTTCTCTGTTCACTAACCCGCACTGACCAGCATGGTGAAGTATGGTTAAACAATCCTCATCACCAACATGGAGTGGGGAAGCCTTCATCCAGCAGTGTCTTGACAGAGGTTGCAAGTTTTTGTTTTATTATAGTGGAAGTGCGAATCACTTATTTCACTGCGACTGTGATTCTCAAAATCACTGTTCAGTCACAAATTTATCAGTATTCATGACCATACTACTGCGTATGAGAAGAAAAAAACCACGTAGCTATATTAAATATGCAGGCATGTAATACAAAACATTGGATATACACAACAAAAAACTATCGAGAAATAACAAACACGTGTATGGAATATTATAAATAGTCAGCCTTTATTTAATTCTAAGCTCGGCCAAAGATGCGTTCCGCTGTGAGCACAAAGAGGGGACCGCTGCTTCGTTCCAATCTATTTAATATTTCATTTGCCCCCCGCCCATCTTTTGTTACGCGAGAAACCGACACAGAGAGCGCTGAAAAGATCAGTCGATAGGTCATCAGCAGGACTCTCGTTTTGTCATCTCCTCGGAGGGACATTCGAGAGAGGAGAGACTGAAGAGAGAGAGAGAGTTAGACAAACCGCGACCTCCAATTTGTCTACGCCGCCATGAATCGGGGTCGTGTCGCTGTCTCAAGCGTCCATTTATCGCTTTCGTCTCGCCTGTCCTCATTGACTCTCACCGATCCATCACGCTCCGACACACGGAGCCAACGCTCGCGCAAGCATTGCGGTCACGGCATACCTCTCAATCCACCCCTGCCCCCCCCCCCTCCTCCTCTTGCCCCTGCCGGAGTCAGGCGGCATCCACGACCCCATTCCGAGGAGGCGACGCGCTCCCACCCCCTGGTATCGAATTGGCCCGGTAAGGACTGCTGCTGCCGCTGCTGCTGTGAGACTGTGCCAAGCTCCGCTGCGATCGTGGGAACGCGGCATCGTGGGTCCCTGTGGAGTTGGAGTCTCCAGGGGCCGACGAGAGAGTCGGGGACGAAGAGGCAGATTTCCTCTCTGGCCGCCAATCCCGCTCACCTGACCGCCCGCGGGAAAAATGCGCCGCAAACTACCGCGGTGCCTCCCCTGAGCCTTACTGAGCAATGCAGATCCGTTCAGCCACGCGCTGTCGAATGTGAAGGCATCTGCGGATCGTCTGCCATTGCGTAAAGCGTGGGCGCTCCCAACTCTGAAAGGAGTTCAGACGGCGTGGTAAGCAGTGAAATATCATGAGATGCCCTTGAGAATAGATGTCATCCTCCCAAACAGTGGCTATTTATAACGCATGATTTAATAGCGTTGCATGCTTTGGGGTTTAGCCGTAGTTAGCAGCAAACAATGTGTATTATTATCGTTCTAAGCGTCACCCTGCTTATGAAGATACGCTTCCTTCGTATTTGAATGCGGGTTAAACATAATCGTGGAGCGGTGGCGCAGTGGTTAGCGCACCTGTGCCATGAATCCAGAAATTTGAGCGGAGTTTGATTCCATGCATGGCCATGGCGAAACTCAATTGTCAGTGGTTGTTTGAACCGGATCATTATCCTGCCCCAGCCTTTGGCCGGCTCGTACCGACCCAGCGAGGTGAGAGGTCAAACAACCGCCAGGATCGACGCGGCGTGAGGAGACCCTCATCCAGCCATGGCTTGACAAGCGGCTGCAAATCATTATGAACATAACTATTGTATTGTAAAAACACATTCGCACAAACAATTGCTTGGACATCGTTTCTCCTCCCCACCCCACCACCCCCTTATTAATTTTTAAATGCATCACAGTTCCATCTCTGCAAAGAAAACGAACTAAAACTCTGAAATAAACAATGAGCCACTGATTGATGACAAACCACTTGGAGTCGGTCTTCCTTGCAGAGACGCTGGATCTCTGAAGTCGTCTTCGTGCGAGCCGCGGCAGCAGATCTACACGCGGTTTTATGCCCGCGTGCAAAGTGTACAACCCGACGGACCAGGCACATTGGCATAAAGAAAAAGCCCCCCCCCCCCCCCCGGCTTAGATGTTGAATCTGCCCGAAGTCACTGAGCTATCAGACCTCGTATTGATGCTAGAACGGGTAAAACCCCCGTTCAGCTTTCGCCCGAGCACGGCGTCGCAATGTGCACGCTGTCCACCCTCTTTGTTCCACCGTGAACTGTGCACAGTTAATGTGAGTCACTTTATCAATCCAGCGTTGAATTAAAGGTCTTCACGGAGCCGTGTCATTCGCGTTGCCTGTTTGTCCATACTTCGCCACGCTGGTCACATGTAGGTGGGGGGGGGGGGGGGCAAAGGTCGGAGGGGTAGGCGGGGCACAGAACCTGTGGGTTCATCTTCTTGGTTCTTTCGGTAAAGTCACGTAGAATGGAAATAATAAAATAATAAAAATAAAACATAATAAAGTCATTCTCACGACGTTTCGGCCACAACGCAAGCAGCCGTCCTCAGGTGAAGAACAGGTCTGTCGGGAAGACAGCTTCAGGTGAAGAACAGGTCTGTCGGGAAGACAGCTGTCTTAGGACGGCTGCTTGCGTTGTGGCCGAAACGTCGTGAGAATGACTTTATTATGTTTTATTTTTATTATTTTATTATTTCCATTCTACGTGACTTTACCGAAAGAACCAAGCAGATGAATCCCTGCAGTCACGAAAGCTTTAAATCGAAATTTAACCTGTGGGTTGTTTTCGTGTGTCAAACTTCTTTCGCACCGTACGTAGAACAACCGCGCTAATGCGGAGGTGGCGTTTTTTTTTGGTAAGGAATGGAAGGCACGTGGTGTTCAGTGACCGCTGCGCTTTCATTTGCTCGGTCGACGTTCGTTCTCGAGCAGCCATCGAGTGTCTAAGGGGCCGTCCATAAGTGACGTCACGCACCTGGGGGGGGGGGGGGTCAGATATTTGTGACGATGTATGACTAGGGGGTTGAGAAATGTGACGTCACATCAAAATGCACAACTTTAAATAAATATAGACAAAACGTTCTACTTAGTTAAATATAGCGATTTGAAGCATGTTTTTTTGAGGGGGGGGGGGGCAGAGCTTTGTGACGTCATATTTGAGGGGGGTCTGACTTTTTGTGACGCAGTGTGATGAGGGGAGGGGGGTAAAAAATCGTCCAAAATCGCGTGACGTCATTTATGGACGGCCCCTAACTACAGTAAGCACTTCGCTGTGTGCTTATCTCCATCGCGAACAAGAAAACAAAAATACGCCAAAAAAAATATTTGGGATAATCGCTTGCTGTTACGTTTTAAACAAATCCGTGTCTATCCGTACGTAAATTCGTCACAAGTACACGGCACTCCCATGTGTGGCAATGTTGGCGATTTCCACCAATGCATTTGCTTAGTAAATAACCCAGAGCGAAATCTACGTTTGCAATCGATAGGGAACCGCTATACCACTTGCGCCGATTCAATTAACGCTGTGACCTGACATCCACGTCATCGTCAGCATGCTTCATCACACTGCTCCTCATCATAACTACCCTCATTCTTACGTGTCTTCATCAATATTCTAGCAGCCATCAGCAACATCATCTCCCCTCCTCCCCCTCCGCCTCCTCGTAGTCAGAACCATTGTCCTCCTTATCGTCGTTAGAAGCCTCACCATCATCGCCACCACCAATCCCTCCTCCTCCATCACCACCACCACCACAAATCATGCATCATGCACGCACCGCCTCTCACACATCGCGCTGTATGACTGTGTGAGTGAGTATACGCCTTGGGTGTGCCCGGAGGGAAGGGGGGGGGGTATGGGGGGGGGGGCTCTCTGGCTCTCCGCTACGGGAGGAGGAGGAGGAAGGGGGGGTCTGTGCCGAGACGTTCTGGCAGCCCGGCGGAGGCTCCATTGGTTGCTGAGCGCGGTGCGAAGTAGGGGGGGGGGGAGAGGCGGAGCGGCGTGGCGGTGAAAATCGTCGGGCGGAGAGACTGCTGAGCGCATTGCTCGGTGGACGCCCTCGCATCCACCACCCCTCCGGGATCATCGCTCTCCCCTCCTCCCTCCCCACCCTCTACTACCCAGCCCAACTTGCTGCGCTACTAAACCCCCCCCCCCCCGCTTCCTCCGGCTGCTACCGCCGCACGGGAACCTGCCGAGGGAGGCAGCGTCCTGGTTGCCCCCCGTTGTCATCTCGTTGCGAGCACCGCGCGTGTAACCAGCGCAATTCCCTCTCCCTTGCCTCCCTCGTCTCGTCTTCTCCGCCTTGTGTGTGTGCGCGTATCGCCATCGTTTCCCCGTGCCGCTCTCGAACATCGATCAGCTCAAGAGAAGTTTCAGCCACCGACGCTCGCGGAGGAGCCACGCGGAGCCGCCCGTCTCTCTCTGTCTCTGTCTGTCTCTCTCTGTCTGTCTCTCTCTGTCACTCTCTCTGTCTCTCTGTCTGTCTCTCTCTCTGTCTGTCTCTCTCTCTGTCTCTCTGTCTCTCTGTCTGTCTCTCTCTGTCTGTCTCTCTGTCTGTCTCTCTGTCTGTCTCTCTGTCTGTCTCTCTGTCTCCTCTCTCCACCGTCTCACGAGGATGGAGTCGCGCCGCTCCACCGGCGTTGGCGCGTCGCTCCGGCTGTTCGCGCTGCTCGCGATGTGCGAAGCAGGTGAGTGGCGAGCGAGCGGTGTGCGGAGTGGGTGAGTGGCGAGCGAGCGGTGGGTCGCAGCTCGAGTGAATGAGAACAATCCAGAGCTGCGTTGGTCACCATTCGGCAGTGGCCTCACCTGGACGCTTCGCTCGCTCGCGCTGGGTTTGAACAGACGTCAATGTCACGGTGCCGTGGTGAGCGCTGGCATCGACCGACGGAGATTGTCGATTTCCCTTGGAGTGACGTATCTGACGAATGCCAGCTTTCGAATCCGTGTTCATGGATGCGATGTGATTTCATCTTATTGTATAGCTTGTGCATGGCATTAGCGGAATTCGTCTGCGGTGTGCATTTTACACGGTTATGTAAATTGAGTGTCAGTGAGAGTCATTCAGAGCCCGCATGTCAATCCACTGTTGCCTGAAGGTATCCCTCCCCTCCGTGTCGGGATTGTTCGCCTCTGACGTTCTCCGTGGCCGAGAATCAAACTCAGATGGTCGGGGTTAGAGCGCGGTCATGGTTTTCGCGTACGGCATTCGTGGGTCCGTGACGTCGGCACCTAACATCGGTTTGAGATGATGTGTGATGTACAGCGCTCTGGTGTATGGAGCGCTACATCAAAGCACACATCGATGTCAGTGAAACGCGTGTAGCCGCGTGTGGATATATCACGGCATTGGCACTTATTGTATCGTACAAAGCACGGGGGTCCATTGGTGATCGCACCGCGTTCTGAATCCAGGCAGCACGAGTTCAAATCCCAGCCAGGGCGTACATGAGCGGCGAGTCAAAGCGTATGAGCTCCCGTTCACTCCATCTTCAGCTGGTGGTGAAGTATGGTCACACAACCCCCACGACCACCGACAAGGCGCCGAAAGGGCATTTTGTCCGCTGCGACAGTGTATCGACAAATATCTGAAACCTAGTATTGTTATCAGTAGTAGTATTACTCTAAGGCAGTGTGTTCTTAACCTTTGCTGCAGCCTTTGCATCCCTTTGGTTCTGAATCGTAAAAAAAATGCACAATGTTAATAAACACGTGGGATTTGATGAAACAAAGTAGTTGTACGTACATGCCCCGTGCTTAATTTGCGTATCGATGATTCACCTTCTAAACAAATCTGTTCGTGTCTCGCACCCCCAGGGGGTGCAGCGTGCACCCCAGGTTAAGAACCGCCCCTCTAAGTTCAAAGACTGCGAACCAATACACCTCTTCAGAGCAATAGCTGAACGGAAAAGAGAATCGAGTTCTGAAAGCGTTGCAGCTTTGTTTTTGCTGCACAATAACCGCGTCTCGTACGCAGCCTGGTGACACGGTGCGGCCCAACCAATCGTAAATAATAACTTTGTGCCTGGGGGGCTAATCGGGAGTGAAATGAACACGAACCGCTCGTGTGTGAAGGCCGCGGTGGTGATGGTGCTAGTGGGCGGGAGGCGATGGCGTCGCGTTAAATGGTAAACAAGTAAACCCGTAAAAACAAAGTTTTTCACTATAAATCCTTTATATGCGTGGCGGCTAGAGTCCTCTCGTCCTCTGGCTTGAGATGGCTGCCACCTATGGGTCAGATGATTGCATTGCACCATTAAGCAATTGGTAATTAAATATAATATTTTTGTCCTAAAAAGTGTAAAATTTTGGAAAAATGTTTTCACGAACATTAATTGTCACGCACAACGAGTGTGTGTGGAAAATGTCAGCTCGATTGGATCACGGGAAGTGGGTTAAAAAACGACCGAAAGATTTGCACGGTCCTAAGCAAGCCAGCGAACTTAATATAAAGGATTTAAAAACGTCGCAGCCGGGCAGCTTCGAGGCTGAGCTTCGCGCTTTCGCCCTTGCCGTCTGCTTCCTATGGGAGAGGCGCGTTCGCTCGCGAAATGTACGGCCCATTGTCAATCCCCTGCCGGGCGAAGTGTCTCCCTCGGCCGCGTGGGTTATGAAGGTTTGCTCGAGTAAACTTCTTCTCGCAGGCCGGGATGGGCTGAGATGTCATTCACCACCGATGTTAGCCGTGGCGAGGGAATCAAACTGAGTTTCGCTGGAATCCATGACACGAACGCGGTGCTCTGTTCATTGCGCCACCTCTTCGCCGGTGGGACCGATCCAAGGCAACACATCAACAGAGGGCAGTTTGTATTTTTATTTTATCTGGCGTTAGAAAGGAGAAAGCAGCGTGGCTCGAATTGTGTTTTAAAATGTTGTGAGCTATTCCCCGGAATCCGGGGGCAGGAGCTGAGTGGAGTCGTACGCTTGTTCCTCCAGAGAGCTAGGATAGGCTGACAGCTCAGAAGGCTTTAACTGCTACTATAAAACATAGTTTAGTTGTATTTGTATATATTTTTAAAGTGATGTGATCAATTTTCCTATACTTTGCACTGCTATCGCGTCTCTTATATTGTTTGCTGTAACGTTCTGACCCGCCCCTACTGGACAATCTGTGATATAAAAAAGAGCTTTGTAGCTCATCGGATTCCCCCACTATAAATAAATATTCCGATTCTGATGAGCGCCTGTGCGCATGGGGCAGCCATCAGTGATACGTGCCTGTCGGATTGCAGCTCACAGCCTGCACATACGACTGTCGCACAAGAGACCGTGCCAATTACGAGGATGCATTCCCCCCCCCCCGCCCGCCCGCCGCACGCTCCCATGAGTGTCCCTTCGCTTGCGCGCCTCTCGTTAGACGCCTTGCCACCTCTAGGCGAGAGACGCGGATGAGTTTACGCACCACGCGCTCCAGCTGTTGTGGAGGCTCAGAGCAGAGCGACTCGTTGTGACAACTGCTTTCGCGCGAATTCTGCGATCACCACTGGGCGGTTTTGTCCACGCGAATCTGCGTCGGATGCTGCGCGCCTTGTGGTGGTTAAACACACAGCTCACTCACCCACCCCTCCCTGCAAACCAAACTGAGCTCGCCCGCTCGATGCCCCCTCCCGGCACGCACGTTTAAACAATGTGGCAAGTGCCTTTAAACGCCCCGCGCCTGCACGCCGACAGCACCCGTCCCGTCCTTCCCGAGCCTCTGCTGTGTCCAGCCATGGAGCTGTGCAAGTGTGTTCGCTACTCCCAAGGTAGCCGGTCGGCAGGTCACGTGCAGCGGGGGTTAAGTGTGGTGGGTACTGCCACAGTAGAACATCTCTCGCCAACGTGGAGCGCCGTGGTGGCTAAATGTCAAATATCTTCTTGGTTCTTTCGGTAAAGTCACGTAGAAGGGAAATAATAAAATAATAAAAATAAAACATCATAAAATGTGAGAATAATTTATTCTGTTTTATTTTTATTCTTTTATTATTTCCCTTCTACGTGACTTTACCGAAAGAACCAAGAAGATGAATCCCTGCAGTCACGAAAGCTTTAAATCGAAATTTAAATGTCAAATACTTCGCCGGGTATACGGGAGGGTCGTGGGTTCGACCCCGACCCCTGACGCCTGCTGCTGTATATTTGGAATTTGCGTGTTCTCCTCGTGGTCGCGTGGATTTTTCTCCGGGTCCTCCGGTTTCTCCCCGCCCCCCCCCCACACACACACATTTAGAAACGAATGGTCCTTTAATGTGCACTGGGCGTCCAGACAAAGGTGGTCGTTCTGATGGAGGCCCTTTCGTCAGCAGTGGCACGAACAATCAATCTTGGAGGGTGGTGAGGGCTGCACCTTTACCGTGCAGCTGGAATCCGACAATCCTCGCTTTTGTTGTGACTATCAGGTTCCTTATTTGCATATGTGATTAATCATATACAGAGGTATGACTGGGAACGGTGTACGTGCTTCTAAGGTTGATAAGTTCGTGTATCACCACATCGTAATCCAGTCGAGCATTTTTTTTGTAGAGAATTGCAGGCCCCCCCCCCCACCCCTACCTCCTTTGGTAAGGCACTGCTGGATGTAGCCCTAGGCCACGCTGTGTCTGTAATGCAGTGCCGGTGAAGATGGTGCGGGGCCTGTAGCATATGTTGTTATAAAGGGGCCCTAAAAAAACAAGTAAATATTAAAACACACAACATTTTCAACTTGCAATGTAAAGTAATTGTATTTTTTTCATTTGCTGTACAGTCAGATAATACGACGAATCGCTAACCTTAAACACCCAGTAGTTCATAAAAGTTGAAGGCGGTATAGTACTATAGTAATAGAGCAAGTGCAGAATCACCGAACCGGAATTGATAGCTTGAAAGCATTTAGCGCGAGGCCCTTGAAAGTGCGGGGCCCGTAGCTACTACATATATAGTAGCTACTTTTTCTACTAGGACAATCCGGCACTGCTGTAATGGTGTGTGGGGGGGGGGGTGTTGTTTGACCATACTTTACCATGGTAGTCAGCGTGCATTGGCGGAGCTGGCTTACTTCAGGAGAAGCGTCATCATTCCGCATGAAGTCGACGGCCTGCGTGGGTGGGCCGTGCTCTCTCTCGTTGTGCACCACGAGTCATCCCGTTCAGTCGCGACAGAGACGGAGCAAAGGGTAGACCAGGAACACGCGCGAATGCGAGCGCAGACCTTTTAGTAATCCACTGCTGGATGAGACCCCCCTCCCCCCCTGCTGAGCGGGCCTTTGTAGATATTTGAACATACTTCACCGCACTGACCGGCGTGGGTTTGCGATGGCAAGCAATGGGGAGAGGGCATCGCCGTGGAAGCATATGTGTACAGTACAACAGTGGGATTTACTTTGCTGCACTTCCCGACAACGTGGCCTCGCAACCCCTATATGACAACTGGTGCATATGGCAGGTCACCGACTGCGAGCGCTATCCAACCCAAGCTCAAACCCCTGCTTGGCTTCCCAAATCTGTCTAAGATGGGGCGAGCGCATTGCGCATGATGAGTTGACACGCGCTTCGCAATTCCGCGCAGGTAGAGGAGCGGCCGGGTTCATTGTTTACGGAGCAGTTGAGCGGCGGTGATACGCACGGTAATGGTGTAGCCCTGAATTTACGGTAGTGGTGCTTAAAGGATGATTCCCTTGCAGAGAGGGGGGGGCACAGCGGGAGAGGGGGGGCATGGATTCACGAGGAGCGGC